TTTATTTGAATTAGTTTTTATTTAAGTTATATATATATATGGATTAATTAAGCAATAAAAATTTTTACAATATATATATATAAATATATGGATTAATTAAGCAATAAAAATTTTACTAATTAAACGAATATTGCTTATGATATTATTAAAATATTGACATTCCTGTATGTTTGTTCACGGAAGTACTCGGCGCCTTTTATTCGATTTAAAATTTAATAAGAACGAAATAAGAAGACTGATATGTTAGGTTGACGATTATGCAGAATTCTTTATTCGTACGTGAAAGACGTCCGTTAAAGTAAAAATTTAATAAGTTTAATAACCGAATAAACCGGTCAACCAAAGAAAATATTAGAAGCGTCTGTAACGGCACCGTGAATTTAAGCGTTACTTTTTTACGAATTATTGGCAATATTTCGAAGCATGATAAATGCAATAGAAAGACGTTGAATAATTGTTATTAATTGTAAATATTAATGATAATGTAAACTTTAGTAATTAAATTATTATACCGAACAGACGTAGATTCCAGCCAGTATAACTAGCGCAAATTCTTACAGCAGTTGTCGCCTTTCTTTGTTAAATAAAAATTAAAATTAAAAAAAAAAAATTAGTTTTTATTTAAGTTAAGAATTATTTTCTGTGTTATTTATAAACATATAATAATTAATATTTATTTTATCCATAAAGTGTTTTGCAAACAAACGTATTCGAGTTTTTATTCTAATGTAAATTTATTGAAATACAACTCTGGTAACCATAATTAATATTTTATTCTGTATAGTTACCGAATTTCATACAGATCGAAAGAAAAGAATTCGTTGTAGACACATCTTACAACAACTTAACTATAGAAATCTTTGTCAGAATCGAATGGTTACGTGTTATGCTCATTGTGCGCCGTGATTACAATCCAAACTGCATCCGCGCCCTTTTCCTTTCGAACTTCCTTTCGGAAGCACGCGCGATATCCGGTGCATCCTCGAATGTCTCGCGGAATATCCGTCTCGAGAAGATGTTTCCACCGGTGAGATGTTTCGCAACGGTGGTCGCCGGTTGCCCATTACGACGAACGCCGGCCGCGGCGCACGTACCTACGTATAATGGCAATCATGTTAATTACCGTAAGTAGAGCCGCGCGCGCGCAAGCGGGAGCCTGGCGATAAAAATTAAAATTAAAAAAAAAATCGACCAGTATGAAAATATATCAGTACTTTTAGTCACCGGAACGAATACAGCTTCCTCTTTTGTATACGGGAATCAGATGCGGCTGATATCTAGCCGGAGGTGGAATGGCTTATGGTTGAGTTGAAATTCGGTCGAGTGCAGCGGCATCAACAAGACTAGAGAGCCTAGCCAATTAATTACCGCGAAAGGAAGGAAGGAGCCAAGATCACGGACGCGGGAGGCGCGCTTGAACTTCCACGCGAATCTCTCGCGATGTGCTTGAGCCGCCGAGCGTGGCGTTCGCATATAATTAGTAGTGGTCTAAGATTCGATTATGTCTCGTTTCTGTTTCTCCCTCTTGTTTCATGTCTCGCAATCTTCTCTCTGTCTCTCTCTCTCTCTTCCCCTCTTTTTAATTCTTTTTTCTCGTTTGTCGCGAAGCAAAAAAATTGTAGTTCGGTATACCTGCTTACTTCTCGCACACGTAACGCCTTTTTTTATTTATTTAGCAACCCAGGAAGCCGTTAATTCTGCCGACAGTTCCGCGGTAACTAATTGAAGGTCAGGACGCAGCCGAGTCTCTTAACCAGGGAACGCTGCGCTGTAAGCGCCCGTTTCCGGTTCCGCGGATCGACTTTCGTAACTTTGCGATAAACGCGATATCTCCGACCGAAAACTGGTTAACGATTATTACGGTATAATTCTGAGAATTTAGGCCGAAAATCGCAATGCTCTCTCTCTCTCTCTCTCTCTCTCTCTCTCTCTTTCCTTAATATCTGTCCGTGCATTTAATTGTCGCGGTTGCCCATTACGACGCACGCCGGCCGCGGCGCACGTACCTACGTATAATGGCAATCATGTTAATTACCGTAAGTAGAGCCGCGCGCGCGCAAGCGGGAGCCTGGCGTGGCCGCCTCTCCACGTAGTGGTAACGGCGTGTGCCACTATTACGGGGATCGTCTTACCGTGAACGCACGCTATTCCTTCCCTCCGTACGCGAGTGAGTGCCCCTCTTTTCCCCTTATAAGAGGGAAGCACCGGGGGAAGCGGAGGAGGATGGCGGTCGTGCTCGAGAGAGGAAGGAAGGTCGGACGAACGAACCCAGGAGTACACGCTCTCGGGTCTTACACAGACGGCTGTACCCCTCCGTTTTCTCCGGCGAGCTTCCGGCTCGCGGTAATTAAGGGCCCCGCGAAGCGCACGTACCAAATCGGTCCCCTCGTTTTCTGCCGGTTTTCGCGAGACGTCACGCCAGTCGCCAGGCTTAATTACGATCTAATTCGATTAGCATTTTCTGAGGAATACCGGTCTTGCTCATCTTCACATATATCTATTGTTACAGTCGTTTAGATGCATTATCTGCGTAAACGGCATTTGTCATATCCGTTTGTTTAGAATTTATATATTTGTGTTTGGATATACTGAGATGAAATATATTATTTAGTAATTTTTTGAAGTATATTATTTAGTAATTTTAAGTTGTTGAGAGTAATTTTAAGTTATTTTCTTTTGGGGATATACAATATTCGATTTAATAGATAAACTCATTCATTATACTTTTTGTTTATTAACTAAATTTATTTACGCACATTTGTACATCTTAAATCATATTTTAATTTATTTAAAATAGTTTATAAGTCCTACATACTTTTATTAACGGAGTTTGCACGCAATGCCGTTAAATATGAATTTTCATCGATATTATTATCGTTGTTGCCGACCGGAGATTAGATCCAATTTTGTAGAGGCGGAGATCGGAACTCCCAGATGTGACGGTATCGCGTGAAAAATGGGTTCGTAGTAGTCGATGTATCTCGCGAAAGCGTGCATTAAGGTCGATCCTAATTGGCGCCGATTTAATTAGGATCGCCAGCGTGACGGTTAGCAATAGGCCAGGTCTAAGTCGGAGGTAAGAGAATGTCGGCGTGCGTTATTAAGACACGTAGCCTTCCTCGTCGTCACGGAAGCTGACCGCGCGCCGCATTCTCTTTCGACCCCTTGCAATTGCAGCTAGGGAAGTGCCGAAGTCACGAGCCGCGTTAAAATTGAAGCTAATTACGGTGCAATGTGGAAACGTACAAATACTGCTATAAATATTAAAGCATGGACGGAGCAATTAGTATCCGTAATTCTAATATTCGAGATGGAATGTTATATTATCTGTACATTTTGATATTTAAGAAAAATTATATATATACAGCAGAATATAAAATTATTTAATATTCCAAAAAAGTAGATCTATAATATAGGAAATATTTTTCAAAAATATTTTATTATAAAAAAATAAATTATGTTTATAGAACAAAATATATATATATATGGATTAATTAAGCAATAAAAATTTTTACAATATATATATATAAATATATGGATTAATTAAGCAATAAAAATTTTACTAATTAAACGAATATTGCTTATGATATTATTAAAATATTGACATTCCTGTATGTTTGTTCACGGAAGTACTCGGCGCCGCAATGCTCTCTCTCTCTCTCTCTCTCTCTCTCTCTCTCTTTCCTTAATATCTGTCCGTGCATTTAATTGTCGCATATTTTCGCAGATGAAGGATACGCGAGTATATGAGTATATAAAGTTTTTTGTTTGGATTCTAACCGGTTGCATTGACTAAAATCTGGGAATCAAGATTAATTACGACTTTCACGAGATAGGGTCACGAAGAATTTTGTGATTGCACATTAACAGATTTATAAGATAAATTGAAAGATACTATTATCAAATCATAGAATATTTAAGAATTAATCTTTTCCTAATTGGAATATATTTTGACTTAATCATCTTGTATATATTTTACGTTTATTGGTAAATCTTATGATTCATATGATTGACATGAAAAAAAAAAAGCTAATCACTAACATTCGAATAACTGTCACCAAGTATGGAACAAACGGTCTACAAGTAACGTGTGTTATAATTATGACTCAGAATGCAATTTATCCGGAGAGAATTTCATAACATACGGTGAACGCAGACTGCATTTATTATCTAATCAAACTTTTTTACTAGAATTTCGATACTAATCGATGCCGCGCACGTAGAGTCGCGGTCGCGAGATCGAAATGGATGAAACGTCTAATGGAATTGACTCTCGGGGCAGACGTCGAAAAGAAATCATTAGCGAGGGAGTAAAACAGACTTGTCGTTAATAGCGTGGCATATATGGCAGCTAAATAATGGCATTGTGTCATTCTCGATTTCTGTCATTAACAAGCCGGTTAATCGTGCAAAAAAAGAGGGATATCGCCGATGACCGTAACTCAACCGTCGTTGCTCCCACAATGAATAGCTCTCTCGCGGTATTGAACGCACTTCGTTACTGGACAGACTATTGACAGAAGCCTTCTACGGCTTGCCGAACGCATAAAGCACCACGCAATGCCACCTGCATGCGTGTCGCATGTGCGAAAGCCAGAATACACTGATTTTTTTTTTCGCATCCCATGCGTCTCGCTTCTGTGCTCCGTATTCTACACAAGTTTTAGGAAATTCTGGCGGAGTTATTCGTATTTAATAAAGACAAAAACAAGATACACAAGCACGAGTTAGTGGTATAGAAGTGAGTGTAAATTAGAATATTCCTCGCTATATCTTTACACTGCTAACGTGATTCGAACTTTATTTTCATATTTAGATTTGATACATGCAGTCAAAAATATGAAAAAGTAACCATTTTTTTTTATAGATTTAAAGCCATTCTTTTTGCTAAATATTATATAAAATTTACGTTACATTTAAAGTTGTAATTTTAAATGTAAAATGTCACTACTAGAATTTATTTAACAAAATTAACTCTAATTTTTATTTTAATAAAAAATTTTTCAGCTTGTGTATATGTATATGTGTGACCAATTGTATTATACCAATAACTTTATTTGTCATCTTATATATCATCTTATTGTAAATCGTAGGCATTAACGCCCTAGCAGATATCACTGTACGTAAACACTGTACATCGAAAATGCGAAAACATTATTGTTATTTGACAAATGACTTTCAAAGAATGTTTTTATTTACGTTCGTTTGAAAAATTCTTCTCTAGAACGACTAATCAACTTTCAGTTACTAGCATAATATTCAATGCTTCGCATCGTGTAACCAAAAGTTTTCAGAGTCTCTCTGTGAAGTCAGTAAAGTGAAACAAAGAGTTTTGTATTATAATATTTTTAAATATAAAAAAACTCGTCATCCGAATACAAAATGAGAAAGAAAAGGATCTTTCTTTCGCAAAAACAGCGCATTGAAGTTCAGCAGAAATTAAAAAGAGGTATCTCGATAGGTAAAATTATGGATTTTTATGGAATTGGTGAGAAGACTGTTCACAATATAAAAAAACAGAAAATACCAATGAAGCAAGGAATAAATATGAAAAGAAAGAGTATTCGGCCTTTCAAGTATATAGAATTGGACAGACAATTGTTTAAATGGTATCAAGATCGGAAAACATCGGGGGACACAATTAACTATGAGCTACTTAAAAAACAAGCGAAAAAAATCAAAAATAATATTGGAGAATCACCCACTGCAAAATCTTTTTATCCATGGTTGTATCATTTTATAAAATATCACGAGATTCAACTAGAGTTCGAGGTTAATGCTTTCCATAAAGAAGTGGATGTAGCATTAATTAATTGGTTGCTACTACAGATAATATCAGGAGATACAATTTCAGATATAATGCTTATAGATAAAACAGAGGAACTTATGAAGGAATTTGGTGGACCATTAACATCTGAAAGAAAATACAAATGGCTGGAGAAATTTAAAATATGTCATAAGATTTTGATAAAATCTGACATTTTGCAAAATTTCGTTGAAAGAAATGATGAGACCAATCAATCTAATAAAAATTTGGATGATCAATTACTTAATTGGTTGCTAGAGCGGAAGAAATCGGGAGATACAATTTCATTAGAGATGCTTGCAGATAAAACATGGAAACTTATAGACGAGTTCGATGGACCATCAAAAAAAAGGGAAGAAAAAAACTGGCTGTGGAGAATTAAGAAACGTTATCATCTGCCAGACTTTCGAAAGATGCCAGAGATTTTGCAAAACGTTATCCAAAGAGATGATGAGGCTAATCATTTTAATGCGGAAAAATTTATTCAAGAATTCAGTCAGCGGTTAGAGAAGGAAAATATTGATAAAGAAAATATTTATAATATGATCGAAACAGCCGACATATGGAAACGTTTTGTTCAAACCTTACTAGCACACGCAGACAAAACAAAAATTGCTGAAAAACACATTGACATTGAAAAATTAAAGAGCAATCCTTTAACTATTATATTTTGCACAAATGTTACTGGTAGTAACAAACTACCACCCTTTTCACTAGAACATAAAAATGAATATGAAAATCAAACAATGTCAGAACATTGCGAGAGCAGATTGCTTGTCACTCATAAATTACAAGAAAATGCCTCAACACGAGAATCGAAAGATTTCGCATTTTGGTACAAATATTTATTTAAGTTACATGTGAAATATCACCAAGAAAAAAAAAATGTAACAGGCAAAGTACTTTTACTTGTTGACAATTGCATGCAACGAATTTTCTCGGAAAATATTACGCAAGATAAAGATTTCGAAATACTATTTCTTCCGACAAACGCAGTCTCATTTTTTGAATCACTGTATCCAAAACTTATTGCGGAAATTGATAAAATTTTTCAAGATTATGTTATAAACTTATTTGAAAAGAAATCCTTTTGTGAAGCTAAAGAATTCAACAGAGATTATAATATAGATTATTGTATAACTAGCATTTGCAAACCATGGAAACTCATCGCGCCTGAAAATATAGAAAAGTTATGGAGAATATTTTTACGACAAGATCGTCAAATACAAGAAGATACTCCGACATTAACTTCTGCTAGTTCACAGGATTAATTAATTGTATAATAAGAAAAGATACGGTTTCTAAAAAAATTTTGATAATGCAAGTTTCTTGCGCTGAGGCTGAAAGAGAAGAACGATAAGAACAAAAGAAAAATACTGAAAATCTGAAGGAAAACAGAACGAGAGGATACTCAAGAATATTTTAGGCCAATTTTTAAGAGCTAATTATTGATATAATAGAGGAAGATTTCAGACAATGGCTTCAAACGAAGTATCAAACGACGTACTCAACTCTGAGGGAAAAATCGAAGAAGAAAAATTTTAAGAATTGCAGAAACATTGTACTTTTGTATATAAAGTTCGTATTGTGTTATCTTGATGTTCATTTGTTAATACACGCATACAATTTCGTATAGCCAAGATAATGTTACAATTCTCGTTATAACATACATGATATGTTGATAAATTTTTCGAAGTATCGAGGTTTCAAAAGAGACCATAATTCCTCAAAATATTTAAATTACTGAACTATCTATTCGGAACAACGATTAGAAATTACTTTTTTCATCATAATTTTGCGCGTAATGAGGGATGCAGTGCCTGGGAGTTTCGGAATTTCCTGAAATATACTTAGAAATCTCTTGAAGAAAGAATTTTTGAAGAAAACTGGACCCATGTTCGGAAATGCAACTGATGAAATCGAAATGTGGATGGAACGAGATCGCAGAAATTCAAGGTATTTACTTCTTTTTTTTACTTTGTATAATATTTTCGTTTTTTTGTGATATCGTCGGGGATACTACAATTGATATATATTTTAAGTGAATATTTTTTATACTAAAATCTTTATATGTGGTTAAGTATATTTGTACATGTACATGTATATATTTGTGCATTGGGTCAACAGTGCTCGTTTTTAATTTGTCGATAGATCCGAATGATTATTCATTAAGTACGATTAGCTTGCCTTACTTCGATGATTATATGACAAAGCTAAGCATTTTTTTTTAAATAATGAAAGAAAAATAAAAAGTAGAGAGAAGATTGGTTTATAAGTAACAAAAAATTTTTATTTGGCATTAATGTTGCAAAGAATAAAGTTTTATTTCTATTGCGTTATCAGAATTTATTACAAGATAAAAAAAATAAATTTTAGCTTGTTTTCTTAGAAATATTTAACAAAAGATTAAAGTATTTATAAATTAAAACTAGACTAAATTATTTTATGTAGATTATTCAAAACATGTCATTTATAAAAAGTTATATAAATTATATATGCTCATGCGTGCATGGTATTCACCAATATCAGATGATAAATCGAAAATAAAAATTTATACAAATTCATCTTGAACATCTATGAGTTGGACATATAGTACTTTCTCTTTCTCTCTTTTTCTTGCTTTCTCTCTCTCTCTCTCTTTCTCTCTTTCTCTCTCTATCGAAAATTTTTGAAAGCTTCTTATTAATATACCTAGGAATAATTACAGTAATGAAAATAAATTACAGATGATGCAGTCACATTTAAAGGCAGCAGGAA